GCCCGTGCCATGGGCGGTGGCACCCCTACAGGCTCATCCAGGGACATTGGCAGACTCAGGGGCTCTCCCAGGAACAGCAGCGCCCGCAGGGACCGTGCCAAAGGCGGTAGCGCAAGCCAGGACGCTCCCAGGGACAGGGACGCTCCCAAGGGCCCTCCCAGAGATGGCCTGCAACAGGCGGTGGTGCCCCCAGGGACCTTGCCAGAGGCAGTGGCGTCCTTAAGGGCCTTGCCAGAGGCAGTGGCGGCTTCAGGGGCCTTGCCAGTGGTGCTGGCGCCCCCAGGTTCTCTCCCTGGGACAGTGGCCTTCCAAGGGGTCCTCCCAGAAACGGCAGCCCTCCCAGGGGCTCTGCCAGCGACAGCGGCGCTCACATGGGCTCTCCCAAGGACATTGGTGCTCCCAGGGCCTTGCCAGGGACGGTGGCGAACCCAGGGGCCCTCCCAGGGACAGCGACGCACCCAGGGGCCCTCTCCGGGATGGTAGCCAGGGACAGCAGAGCTCCCAGGGCTGGCGCCGACCCCAGGGACCGTACCAAGGGTCCCGGTGGGCCCTACGACATGCTTAACCGTCGTGTCATACACTGTATATTATATACCTCAAGCAGTCCCTTACTTAACTGTGATTGGTGGACTATTCTTTAACCCACCAAACTACAGCCAATAGGAGCAGAGAGCAGTCAGTCAGCACAACACCTCAACTTATGTTTTCCTGTTGATATTATTCTCCATTACCTTCTTCAGAATGTGATGATACTGGAAATGTGATGGGTGGCGGTGTGTTTATTTAACGTTGCTTCTCCCAGAGCTCTAAATAGAGCAAAAACTACTGCAACCAGGGGCATTCCCAGAGACGGGAGCGCTTGCAGGGACACTCCCAGGGACTTTTGCACCCTGGGGACTCTTCCAGTAACAGCGGCGTCCCAGGGGCCCTCCCATGTACGACGGCACACCCAGGGGCCCTGCAACAGGCGGTGGTGCCCCCAGGGACCTTGCCAGAGGCAGTGGCGTCCTCAAGGGCCTTGCCAGAGGCAGTGGCGCCTTCAGGGGCCTTGCCAGTGGTGCTGGCGCCCATAAGTTCTCTCCCTGGGACAGTGGCCTTCCAAGGGGTCCTCCCAGAAACGGCAGCACTCCTAGGGGCTTGGCCAAGGGCAGTGGCGTGTTCCCAGGGGCCCTGCCAGCGACAGCGGCGCTCACATAGGCTCTCCCAAGGACACTGGTGCTCCCAGGGTCTTGCCAGGGACGGTGGAGAACCCAGGGCCCTACCAGGGACAGTGTTGCACCCAGGGGCCCTCTCCGGGATGGTAGCCAGGGAGAGCAGAGCTCCCAGGGCTGGCGCCGACCCCAGGGACCGTTCCAAGGGTCCCGGTGGGCCGTACGACATGCTTAACCGTCGTGTCATACACTGTATATTATATACCTCAAGCAGTCCCTTACTTAACTGTGATTGGTGGACTATTCTTTAACCCACCAAATTACAGCCAATAGGAGCAGAAAGCAGTCATTCAGCACAACACCTCAACTTATGTTTTCCTGTTGATATTATTCTCATTGCCTTCTCCAGAATGCGATGATACTGGAAATGTGATGAGCGGCGGTGTATTTGGTTAACGTTGCTTCTCCCAGAGCTCTAAATAGAGCAAAAACTACTGCAACCAGGGGCCTTTCCAGAGACGGGAGCGCTTGCAGGGACCCTCCCAGGGGCTGCAGCACCCTGGGGACTCTTCCAGTGACAGCGGCGTCCTAGGAGTACTCTGAGGGACATCGGCGTCTCCAGGTGCCCTTCAATGGCGGTGGCGCCCCAAGGGGCCTTGCCAGAGACGATAGCGCCATCAGGGACACTCACAGGGCCATCGGTAGCTCAGGGGCCCTCCCAGGCACGTGAGCACCCCCAGGGGTCCTGCAAGGGGCGTTCGCGGCCCCTGGGGCCTTGCCAGAGACGGTGGGGCCCTCAGAGGCCTTGCCAGGGGCGCTATCGTCACCAGGGGCTCTTCCTGGGACAGCAGCTCTCCCAGAGACCCTCTCAGGAGCGGTGGCGTCCACTGGGGCCATGTCATGGACAGCGGAGCTCCCAGGGACCCTCCCAGGGGAAGCGCCGACCCAGAAATCGTACCAAGGGTCCCCAGGAGCCCTATGGCAAGATTGTCCATAGTGTCATATATATATTACATACATCCAGCAGTCCCTTACTTAACTGTGATTGGTGGACTATTCTTTTAACCCACCAAGTTACAGCCAATAGGAGCAGAGAGCTGGCAGTCAGCAAACACCTCAACTTATGCTTTCCTGTTGGATATTATTCTCCATTACCTTCTTCAGAATGTGATGATACTAGAAATGTGATGGGCGGTGGGGTATTTATTTAACGTTGCTTCTCCCAGAGCTCTAAATAGTGCAAAACTACTGCAACCACGGCCCTCCCAGGGACATGAGCGCTTGTAGGGATCCTCCCAGGGTGGGAGTTCTCCCAGGGACAGGAGTTCTCCCAGGGCCCGTGCCATGGGCGGTGGCACCCCTACAGGCTCATCCAGGGACATTGGCAGACTCAGGGGCTCTCCCAGGAACAGCAGCGCCCGCAGGGACCGTGCCAAAGGCGGTAGCGCAAGCCAGGACGCTCCCAGGGACAGGGACGCTCCCAAGGGCCCTCCCAGAGATGGCGGTGCCCCCATTGACTCTCCCAGTGACAGCAGCGCCCCAGGGACCCTCCCATGGACGACGGCGCACCCAGGGGCCCTGCAACAGGCGGTGGTGCCCCCAGGGACCTTGCCAGAGGCAGTGGCGTCCTTAAGGGCCTTGCCAGAGGCAGTGGCGGCTTCAGGGGCCTTGCCAGTGGTGCTGGCGCCCCCAGGTTCTCTCCCTGGGACAGTGGCCTTCCAAGGGGTCCTCCCAGAAACGGCAGCCCTCCCAGGGGCTCTGCCAGCGACAGCGGCGCTCACATGGGCTCTCCCAAGGACATTGGTGCTCCCAGGGCCTTGCCAGGGACGGTGGCGAACCCAGGGGCCCTCCCAGGGACAGCGACGCACCCAGGGGCCCTCTCCGGGATGGTAGCCAGGGACAGCAGAGCTCCCAGGGCTGGCGCCGACCCCAGGGACCGTACCAAGGGTCCCGGTGGGCCCTACGACATGCTTAACCGTCGTGTCATACACTGTATATTATATACCTCAAGCAGTCCCTTACTTAACTGTGATTGGTGGACTATTCTTTAACCCACCAAATTACAGCCAATAGGAGCAGAGAGCAGTCAGTCAGCACAACACCTCAACTTATGTTTTCCTGTTGATATTATTCTCCATTACCTTCTTCAGAATGTGATGATACTGGAAATGTGATGGGTGGCGGTGTGTTTATTTAACGTTGCTTCTCCCAGAGCTCTAAATAGAGCAAAAACTACTGCAACCAGGGGCCGTCCCAGAGACGGGAGCACTTGCAGGGACACTCCCAGGGAGTTTTGCACCCTGGGGACTCTTCCAGTAACAGCGGCGTCCCAGGGGCCCTCCCATGTACGACGGCACACCCAGGGGCCCTGCAACAGGCGGTGGTGCCCCCAGGGACCTTGCCAGAGGCAGTGGCGTCCTCAAGGGCCTTGCCAGAGGCAGTGGCGCCTTCAAGGGCCTTGCCAGTGGTGCTGGCGCCCATAAGTTCTCTCCCTGGGACAGTGGCCTTCCAAGGGGTCCTCCCAGAAACGGCAGCACTCCCAGGGGCTTGGCCAAGGGCAGTGGCGCGTTCCCAGGGGCTCTGCCAGCGACAGCGGCGCTCACATAGGCTCTCCCAAGGACACTGGTGCTCCCAGGGTCTTGCCAGGGACGGTGGAGAACCCAGAGGCCCTCCCAGGGACAGCGTTGCACCCAGGGGCCCTCTCCGGGATGGTAGCCAGGGAGAGCAGAGCTCCCAGGGCTGGCGCCAACCCCAGGGACCGTACCAAGGGTCCCGGTGGGCCCTACGACATGCTTAACCGTCGTGTCATACACTGTATATTATATACCTCAAGCAGTCCCTTACTTAACTGTGATTGGTGGACTATTCTTTAACCCACCAAATTACAGCCAATAGGAGCAGAGAGCAGTCAGTCAGCACAACACCTCAACTTATGTTTTCCTGTTGATATTATTCTCCATTGCCTTCTCCAGAATGCGATGATACTGGAAATGTGATGAGCGGCGGTGTATTTGGTTAACGTTGCTTCTCCCAGAGCTCTAAATAGAGCAAAAACTACTGCAACCAGGGGCCTTCCCAGGGGCAGGCTTGCAGGGACCCACTCCCAGGGCTGCAGCACCTGGGGACTCTTCCAGTGACAGCGTACAAAGGTACTCTGAGGACATCCCGGCGTCTCAAGTGCCCTTCAATGGCAGTGGCGCCCCAGGGGCCTTGCCAGAGACGATAAGCGCCATCAGGGACACTCCACCAGGGGTGCATCGGTAGCTCAGGGGCCCTCCCAGTACGTGAGCACCCCAGGGGTCCTGCAAGGCGTTGGCCCCTGGGGCCATGCCAGGCAATTGGGGCCCTCAGGGCGCTGCCAGGCGCTATCGTCACCAGGGGCTCTTCCTGGGACCTTGGCTCTCCAGACCCCTCTCAGGATCGATGGTGTCCCCAGAGGCTATGTCATAGACATCAGAGCTTCCAGGGAAAGCGCCGACCCCAGCGACCGTACCAAGGGTCTGCAGGGGCCCTATGGCATCCTTGTCCATCGTATCATATATATTACATACTTCCAGCAGTCCCTTACTTAACTGTGATTGGTGGACTATTCTCTAATCCCACCAAATTACAGCCAATAGGAACAGAGAGCAGTCAATCAGCACAACACCTCAACTTATGTTTTCCTGTTGATATCATTCTCCATTACCTTCTTCAGAATGCGATGATACTGGAAATGTGATGGGCGGTGGTGTATTTATTTAACGTTGCTTCTCCCAGATCTGTAAATAGAGCAAAACTACTGCAACCAGGGCCCTCCCAGGGACGGAAATGCTTGCAGGGATCCTCCCAGGGATGGGAGCTCTCACAGGGCCTGTGCCATGGGCAGTGGCACCCCTAGAGGCTCTTGCAGGGACATTGGTGCTCTCCCAGTAACAGCAGCGCCTGGAGGGGCCCTGCCAAGGGCAGTAGCGCTGGCCAGGACGCTCCCAGGGGTCCTCCCAGAGATGGCGGTGCCCCCATTGACTCATCCAGTGACAGGAGAGCCCCAGGGGCACTCCCCATGGACAGCGCAGGGGAGCCCTGCAACAGCAGTGGTGCCCCCAGGGACATGCCAGAGCAGTGGCATAAGGGCCTTGCCAGAGGCAGTGGCAGCTTCAGGGCCTCGCCAGTGGTGCTGAAGTTCCTCCTGGGACAGTGGCCTTCAAGGGGTCCTCCAAGCAGCAGCCCTCCAGAATCTGCCAGCAGCCGGCTCATAAGGCTCTCCAAAGGACATTAGTGCTCCCAGGGCCTTGCCAGGTGATGCTTGAACCAGGGGCCCTCCAGGACAACGACGCACCCAGGGAGCCCTCTCCGGGATGGTAGCCAGGGACAGCAGAGCTCCCAGGGCTGGCGCCGACCCCAGGGACCGTACCAAGGGTCCCGGTGGGCCCTACGACATGCTTAACCGTCGTGTCATACACTGTATATTATGTACCTCAAGCAGTCCCTTACTTAACTGTGATTGGTGGACTATTCTTTAACCCACCAAATTACAGCCAATAGGAGCAGAGAGCAGTCAGTCAGCACAACACCTCAACTTATGTTTTCCTGTGATATTATTCTCCATTACCTTCTTCAGAATGTGATGATACTGGAAATGTGATGGGTGGCGGTGTGTTTATTTAACGTTGCTTCTCCCAGAGCTCTAAATAGAGCAAAAACTACTGCAACCAGGGGCATTCCCAGAGACGAGAGCGCTTGCAGGGACACTCCCAGGGACTTTTGCACCCTGGGGACTCTTCCAGTAACAGCGGCGTCCCAGGGGCCCTCCCATGTACGACGGCACACCCAGGGGCCCTGCAACAGGCGGTGGTGCCCCCAGGGACCTTGCCAGAGGCAGTGGCGTCCTCAAGGGCCTTGCCAGAGGCAGTGGCGCCTTCAGGGGCCTTGCCAGTGGGGCTGGCGCCCATAAGTTCTCTCTCTAGGACAGTGGCCTTCCAAGGGGGTCCTCCCAGAAACGGCAGCACTCCTAGGGGCTTGGCCAAGGGCAGTGGCGTGTTCCCAGGGGCCCTGTCAGCGACAGCGGCGCTCACATAGGCTCTCCCAAGAACACTGGTGCTCCCAGGGTCTTGCCAGGGACGGTGGAGAACCCAGGGGCCCTCCCAGGGACAGCGTTAACCCAGGGGCCCTCTCCGGGATGGTAGCCAGGGAGAGCAGAGCTCCCAGGGCTGGCGCCGACCCCAGGGACCGTACCAAGGGTCCCGGTGGGCCCTACGACATGCTTAACCGTCGTGTCATACACTGTATATTATATACCTCAAGCAGTCCCTTACTTAACTGTGATTGGTGGACTATTCTTTAACCCACCAAATTACAGCCAATAGGAGCAGAGAGCAGTCAGTCAGCACAACACCTCAACTTATGTTTTCCTGTTGATATTATTCTCCAGTGCCTTCTCCAGAATGCGATGATACTGGAAATGTGATGGGCGGCGGTGTGTTTGGTTAACGTTACTTCTCTTAGAGCTCTAAATAGAGCAAAAACTACTGCAACGAGGGGCCTTCCCAGAGACGGGAGCGCTTGCAGGGACCCCCCCAGGGGCTGCGGCACCTTGGGAACTCTTCCAGAGACAGCGGCGTCCTATGAGTACTCTGAGGGACATCGGCGTCTCCAGGTGCCCTTCAATGGCGGTGGCGCCCCAAGGGGCCTTGCCAGAGACGATAGCGCCATCAGAGACACTCACAGGGCCATCGGTAGCTCAGGAGCCCTCCAAGGCACGTGAGCACCCCCAGGGGTCCTGCAAGAGGCGTTCGCGGCCCCTGGGGCCTTGCCAGAGACGGTGGGGCCCTCAGAGGCCTTGCCAGGGGCGCTATCGTCACCAGGAGCTCTTCCTGGGACAGCAGCTCTCCCAGAGACCCACTCAGGAGCGGTTGCGTCCACTGGGGCCATGTCATGGACAGCGGAGCTCCCAGGGACCCTCCCAGGGGAAGCGCCGACCCCAGAAATCGTACCAAGGGTCCCCAGGAGCCCTATGGCAAGATTGCCCATAGTGTCATATATATATTACATACATCCAGCAGTCCCTTACTTAACTGTGATTGGTGGACTATTCTTTTAACCCACCAAGTTACAGCCAATAGGAGCAGAGAGCTGGCAGTCAGCAAACACCTCAACTTATGCTTTCCTGTTGATATTATTCTCCATTACCTTCTTCAGAATGTGATGATACTAGAAATGTGATGGACAGTGGGGTATTTATTTAACGTTGCTTCTCCCAGAGCTCTAAATAGTGCAAAACTACTGCAACCACGGCCCTCCCAGGGACATGAGCGCTTGTAGGGATCCTCCCAGGGACAGGAGTTCTCCCAGGGTCCGTGCCATGGGCGGTGGCACCCCTACAGGCTCATCCATGGACATTGGCCCTCTCAGGGGCTCTCCCAGGAACAGCAGCGCCCGCAGTGACCGTGCCAAAGGCGGTAGCGCAAGCCAGGACGCTCCCAGGGACAGGGACGCTCCCAAGGGCCCTCCCAGAGATGGCGGTGCCCCCATTGACTCTCCCAGTGACAGCAGCGCCCCAGGGACCTTCCCATGGACGACGGCGCACCCAGGGGCCCTGCAACAGGCGGTGGTGCCCCCAGGGACCTTGCCAGAGGCAGTGGCGTCCTTAAGGGCCTTGCCAGAGGCAGTGGCGGCTTCAGGGGCCTTGCCAGTGGTGCTGGCGCCCCCAGGTTCTCTCCCTGGGACAGTGGCCTTCCAAGGGGTCCTCCCAGAAACGGCAGCCCTCCCAGGGGCTCTGCCAGCGACAGCGGCGCTCACATGGGCTCTCCCAAGGACATTGGTGCTCCCAGGGCCTTGCCAGGGACGGTGGCGAACCCAGGGGCCCTCCCAGGGACAGCGACGCACCCAGGGGCCCTCTCCGGGATGGTAGCCAGGGACAGCAGAGCTCCCAGGGCTGGCGCCGACCCCAGGGACCGTACCAAGGGTCCCGGTGGGCCCTACGACATGCTTAACCGT